GGTAATTGCTTAAAGTCAGTAATTGCATTAAGCACCTGTCTAGAAGCGTTAGCTGCAAGATCTAAAAACAACAGCATGAACGAAAAACGAAGTGCATTAAATGAAGATCATCATTAGGAGGGAAATGTTAAAACAGGATATTCTTTTTAATCTTGGAGAAAAGTCAGCCAATTTTGTTCATATTATGATACAAGAAGGAAGAAAAATAATGAGCTGTTAGCTTAACTTCTACTCATTCCAACATTTAAAAATGGAGGACTATTTTATACAGAGAAGTAGATGTGAGTGATATGTTACCACAGAGACAGTGGCTTTTTTTTGGGGGGGGGGTATTACAGTAACAGAGACCCTTTCTTCTTAAAGGGCTTTGGTGAAGGAGAGATTGTCCTATATCTATTTAGTTATCAATGCCTTTTAGAATTAATAATTTACCTTTATCACTTATATGAGGTATGAAATTGTCATCCTTACATGTTGATCAAAGAAGCTAAGGAAGAGATTAAATGATTTGTCAAAGGTCAGAATATTTAATGTGGATTGCTTTAATGAATCCACAAGAGGGAAATGATAGACAAACACTCCCTTATAGGGCTCAATAGCCAGAGGATTCATCACTCATTTTCCCTATTTAATAACCCTGACCTATTTTCAACTTGAAAAGGTAGCAGATCGTGTGAGCTACAGCCACAACTATAGTTCAAAGTCCAAACTGCACTGCTATGGGATTGATTATTGTAACTTTATTGCTCTCAAATATAGGGTGCCTAGTTATAATCAGACTTTAAACACTTCTCATAAATCTTTTTAGTTTCATCACACACGCCTCTGCAATTGAGTGCAAAATGTGATACAGAGAACTAGAAGGTATTGCATCTCATTTATTCTCAGAAAGCAGTTTGTTTTTAAAAAATCACATAAATTCTTAAAAGATGCCAATAAAAGAACTTTATCAATAAGACAAAAAAAGAAAAATATATACAATATAAAACTCAAATAAACACTCGTTTTGAGGTTCAGCAGACCTCTGTTTCTTACACCATGAACTATGCATGCTTGATTTGTTATTCCATACAACAGGGTGGGCAAAGCTTAGCCTTCCCAATGCTGTCAGGTTCAAATTTCATGAAACGGAGCCAGCATAGCTAAATGTGAGAAATATTATAAATTGTGGCCCAACAACATTTAGAGGGATGCACTTTGTCCATGCTTGCCACACAAGATACAAAAGTGATATACTGTAAATGAAAGGCCCAGAACTCCAATACAAGAAAGCATCAAAGCTCTCTGAACATTGCATATTTTTGCTGTTGCTATTATATATTATCAAGTCACATCTGACTTATGGACACCCTAATGGGGTTTTCAAGGTTATGTGAAATAGTTAAAGCGTGGTTTTACCACTGCCGCCCCTCGGGTAAGTTACCATGGTTGAACAAGTATCTAAACTCTGTTCTCCTGAGTCCTAGTTGAACCCTCTACTACACTACTTTCTACTGACATACAGATTTGCCTCTTTGGTAGATATATTTACAAAGTATGTAGAAACAATTCCAATTCCTTATGGCAGTCTTCTTCCCCAAAGAGACTCACCTGGCACCTATCCTGTTTCCTTCTGGTGCTGGGCAAATACACCTTCAGCTATTTTAAGTTGTTTTAATACCATTTATTCTTATACTTATATTCTTTTCATTATAAACTCTATCTCACAATCTCTTTTTAATTGAAAGGTGCCCATAAGTATTTAATATTCTTGACTAAATTGTTGTCAGATTATTCAAACATGCAAGTAAAAAAAATCGTATAATAACAGAAAGTATCACTGTACAGAAAATATGATAGAAATCTGTGGACATTATGAAACTGTTGCTTATAGTGCCATTCATCAATGTCAAAACCATGCAGACGTCACCAAACATCGTTCAGCATAACATTTAAACAAATCTAAAACAAATCTTTAAAAAAACCCCACACTGTGTGGTTGCTAAAACCAACGTAGCTAGACAGAGTCACACAATGTTCCTTTGAACAAAAGAAACAATCGTTTTGTGTATGTGTATTCTAATCCTACTTTCAGCATCTTAGCGTTTCCCAAAAGTTATAAATGTAGTAGCATTTTGATGGGCTTTCTTCCCTGAGGCAAAGTCATCAACACAATCCACATCCATCCTACACATGAAACTCTCAACAGACTGATGCATCATGTAGGTTAATCAATATGTTTTGCCTGTGGTGTTGCAGCTATTGAATGCAACAAGTTTCACACTGTCCTTTCTTTACATACCAAGTAAATATTTATTTATGCAAGCATTTTAAATCTAGACATAACTGTAGTGCACAGCCATTTCACCTGCTTTTATTATTTGTTCTATGTAGTATACATTTTATTATTTAGCTTTAATTTATCAGCTGAAATATTGTTGCTTAACTTCTTCCTGTGAAACAGTAATTTATGTCATCAGCAGAAGCAATCTTTGGTAATATAAAACTTCTACAGTACTTCTGTTCTACAGGTTTCCGACTCCCATGTAAACCCTTTCATCACATGGAAGCTATGGAACAGATGAAGGAAATTTTTAATTACCAAAAACAGACATTGCCAAGCTCTATTACTGGCAGGGGAAGATCTTCAGTTATTATAGTAGTAGCTGGGAAAGCAAAGTGTGGTGCTTATAGCACTTAAAGTACTCTCGTCAGTTCACAATTTAATTATACAGACTACACTTTGCCCCAACCCCATGAACTGGGTACTCAATTTACTGATCTCAGAAGGATGGAAAGCTGAGTTAACCTTCCGTTGGCTACCTGAATCTGTCATGATTGAACTCAGTTCGTGGGCAGAGTCTTGGCTGCACTACCGCAGTTTAACCACGGTGCCACAAGGCTCTCACATGAGAAATTAACGTAGCAAAACAGGTACATAATGCAACATTTGTTCTTGTTCGGTCCACACAATATTAAAACCAATTGGGTAGTTCTACATGTTCCACTGGAGAAATATTCATTGTCTGGTCCTTTACTACATTTCTGAAAAAAAGCTATACCGCACCCATCCATCAGATGCAGAGGTGGGAGATGGGGGAAATAACTACATCACTATTACTTATTCTTTTCCTGGGCAGGTAGTACAGTTGGCACATGTGGTATAATTGGTGCCAGCTCTTGAAACTAGCCAACCACTTTGTGTAACCCATCTGCATCACACTCTGGTCAAAATCCATCTGCACTGCACCCTGGTCAAAATCCAATGGTGAGTTTTACTTAGGAGTAAGTGAAAAGATGTACAGGATCAAACTGAACTTCATTAACAAGATGTCAGCCATCTGCCTGGTTGTGTGCCAGTCATACAACTGGGCATAGAAGTACCACAACCAGTACCTTTTGAATTAGCTGTAATTCACCACCACAATTTATGTGATTTCATTTACTCCAGAGTAAAATCCCAGTACAATTCTAGCCAGTTTATGGATTACTGAAAAAGTCAAAACACTATTTTTTGCTACCTAATTTAGCAATGAGTAAAACAGATGGAGGGGATGCAAGTCAAAGAAGAAAACAGAGCAGGGAGAGATTGAAGAAAGAATAGCAGAACAACAGAAATTGGTGGAAAGCAAAGAGAAAGTGTAACAGGTGGTGATGCAGATGGCATATACAAAAAGAGTTCTCAGTGTCTTGTGGTGCAATTCAAAGAACTTGATCACACTAAAAGAGCAAGAAAGAGAGGCATAAAATATAGGAAGACCTGTGAAATGTGCAAGAAGGTATAGTAAGTGGTGCAGAGAGGTCTGTGGGGTACAGAAACATTTTATACACTTTTCAGATTAGCAAACATTGCAACATCTTTAACGCTGTAACATTTATTTTTGTATGAGTTTTTATGGACAGTGTAGATCAGGGGTGTCCAACCTTTCCCCTTCCCTGGGCCACATTAGAAGATGAAAATTTGGTTTGGGCCACACATAAATTTGGTTTGGGCCGCGGGGGGGGGCAGCCCTAGCCATCCACCGCAGCCCCGCTCCAAACGCACTTACTGGCAGCTGCGATCTCAGACAGCAGAGGCTGCCAGCTTCGACTCCGGCGGCTTTATGGGGCTGGGGGGGGTCCGTCTATTGAAAGGGACAGTGCAATGCAGTCACGCAGCTTCTTTAAAAATAAAAAATTGCACTGGGCCACATTATGAGTTGACCTGGACCGCATGCGGCCCTCGAGCCGCAGGTTGGACAAGCCTGGTGTAGATCCATCTTAAGACGTTGATTGTAATCTACAAAAGCTCACAATGAAATAAACATACTAGTGTTTAAAATGTTGCTTGTTCCTGGTTTTGTTCCATTTTTCCTTTAACCTTAGCAAAGGTTGTCTGGTGAGAAACGCAATTAGACAGCAAAACCTCTCCTCTACACCTTCATCATACTATTTTATATCTCTTCTCAGTCATCAGCACTCTTTTTCTATTTTCTCTTCCCTTGGACAGCAGCAATCCACTTCCATTGTTTTACCCATCTGGCCATTCCCTGACTTTCCAAGAGTTCCATCAGACAATATTTCACCCTAACAAAAACTGGATATTATCTCAAAAACAAGCTGTGAACTTCTAAAGCAATCTCTCAACTGAATATACCTGTAGCTGAAATCCAGTTCAACTCCAACTCCACTGTGAAACGAATGATTATATCATCACCCATCAACAGAAAAATTTTAATTTAATTGCTCAGGATCGTAGGCATGATTTTCTGATATTAAAGTCCTCCTCACCCTAACCAAGGGCTCCCAAAGATTTCCTCAGGGCAAAAGGGATCCATAGGGAGCTACAGAACCTGAAGGCAGGATAGGAAGTTACAAATGTTATGAAACTTGAAAGTTTCCCTTGCTAGGTGATAGCATCATCTTCATTTACATGGTGCAACCAGGGCACTGGGATTTCAGCCAATGTATCATACCATATCTCCAGCTAATGGAATTCTATTGTTGTTATGCAATAGCAACTGAGAAATTCCACAGCTTACCAGCTCTCTTGCTTCTTCCAGCTGTTTCTCCACTGTTGAAACCATTTGCCTCTTCTCATCTGAAATCAATGAAACAAGTCATTTTGAACTGTCTCATTATATAGTTTTCAAAATTTGAAATATTCAGAAATAGCTTACAATTGTTTTCTTCAGCGGAGTACTAATGAATGTTAGCTTAAGCATCACTACCATCGCCTGTAAAAGATCCTCCACCAAAATCACCTTCAAATACTGCTACTCTGCAGTAGCAGCCCTTCAGGAACTTCTCCACTTCCATCACTACTAGAAATATTAGTTCTCTCCTCCTGATGTGATTTAAGGTGCAACTACAATGGGGGAGGGGAAAGCAGGAAATACTAAGAGTTTGGGGTGGGTTGATTCATTTTTTCCTGTTGATCACATTATGCAAAGAGAAACATGAATCAGCCTAGAGTCTCCTTCCCCCCGCCCCCGCCCTGCTCCGTAGTTTTACTTTTCTACCACTGGGGGTTCTATTTTTTTAAAAAATGGATACATTTGTATCAGTTCATAGGTCTGATCGCTTTAACTGATGCAGAAAAGCCACTACATGAGCACACTTCCAGAGAACAGACTGTGAAGACCATTAGCAAAATTCTTTATTTCTTTTTTTAAAAAAAAAACACTGCTAAGGATGAGCAAAGTCTCTCTTTTCTAACAGAGGAAGCCAGCACACAGGAAATGGCAAGCAATGCCCATCAACAAGATTTGATTTTCTTTTTCCTTTAAACAGCTAAGGGGCAAGGCCCCTCTTTTTTAAAAAATGGCTTATGGCAAAGCTAATAAGATGAAGAAGCCTTAGTTAAACCTTATTGGGCAGTTCCCCTTTAACCATGTCACTAGCTGTGATATAAATACAGCAGCAAACAAACTGCAAACAAGGCTTCTTCCCTCCCTATCTCTGGCCAGCTAATGCAGAGACAGCTGAGGAAACCTGAATTCCCTGGTGTGATTTCACAGTGAATTAATGCAAGTAAATTCATATTTCCATTGTGTAGTCACAGCCTTAATCCTGAAGAGATGCATGCATCATACTCTGGAGTCTCAGATGTTCCCATTCTGCCTCAGTTGGCTCTGCTAGAAACACATGGCTGAAATGGAGTCTAGCCTCCTGATGGCATGGCTCTCAACTTCCCTGAGACACTCAAACCCACTCTTCATGTTAAGATGTGCATCCAAAAGGAGTTTTGTTTTTCAATCATGGACCCACTCTTCATGTTAAGATGTGCATCCAACAGTTTTGTTTTTCAATCATGAAAAAATAAAGAGAAGAAGGAAACAATATATTGAAGAACTATACAGAACAGAGATACAAGGACAACAATTTTTTTCTTTTTTGAAGATAAACTCTTTGGTGAAGAACTTACAATTTTAGAAAGAAGAGTAAAAGATGCTTTCAAAGCACTTGGAAGAAATAAATCACCAGAAATAGATGGTACAGAAAGGACTATTCCAAGCTAGAGAGACTGAATTTATCGAAATTCAGTCTAGAGATGGGCATGAACCTTGGTTCAGAGGTTTATGGCAGTTTGTACGTGCAGCCTCATAGGTTCCCCTAATCTGGCTCCTCACCAGTCTCCTCACCAGTGTGTTCCTCTCTTCCTCTGTGGCTGTTCAATCTGTGCCCGGAAGGAGCATGGGTTTGCCTATCTTGCCTCCTTGTCTCAGTGGGCAATCAGCCAAAGATGCTGGGCAGGGAAGCCAGTGCTCCTACCAGAGACTGACCAGCTGAAGATGAGGAGGAGAGGTGCACATGCCAGCTGGTGAGCAGGTAATCCGGAAATGACATCTATGGTGCTGCATATACAAACCAGCACAAACCTCATGCCCATACCTAAACAAGAATATGCTAAGAAATATGGAAAGCAAAACAATGGCAGACTGAGCCAGACTGAAAATATTTGGTATACATTCCAATCCCCAAAAAAGGAGATGCCAATGAATAAAGTAACTATATGATGATTGCACTAACCACCCATGCAAGCAAAGTGATGCAAAGAGTTTTACCATATATTGGCTGAAATCCCTTTTGCACAGCTATGGAAAAGGTATAATTTTAGCAGCAAATTGCTGTAATTTAAGAAACCTCTTTAGGCATTATCTGCTGCATACTGAGTCACACAACTTCCATGCAACAGAAAATGCCTATGGAGATTTCTGAATAAATGGCAATGTGCCACTAAAGGATTTCAGCCATGAAGTGAGAAATGTTCACTTTTCAAGCTGAATTCAGAAAAAGAAGAGGCACTAGAGATTGTACTGCAAATATATGTCAGTTACTGGACTATATGAAAGGATTTCCCACAAATGTCAGTCTCTGCTTAATACACTTCTTCCCAGAGTGGTGTAGAGTGACAGACTAGGACTCTGGAGAACAGGGTTCGAATCCACTTGGCCATAGAAACTGACCATGGTAGTGGAAATAGTAAAATCACTCCCTGAATATCTCTCTTACCTTGAAAGCCCTATTAGGGTTGCTTTAACTCAGTTCTGACTTGACAGCACAGAACACACACACACTTAATAGACTACAGGAAATACTATATAGATCTTGAAAAGCTATGCATTGCTCTAACAGAAATTATATGTGCCTCAACACTTGATTGTTCTGTTGCATAATCTATATTGTGAATAAGACGCTATTGTTAAGACAGAGTATGGAAAGATAGACAGTTTCCTGTAGGCAAAGATGTTAGACATGGGTGTATTTTGTCTCCCTATCTGTTCTATCTGTACGAAGAATATTTCATACAGAAAAAATGGATTATATTCTTATGAAGAGGAAGTGAAAGAAGGTGGAAGAAACCTCAATAATTTAAGATAGCCATTCTCAATGGGTGCCATATGGCCCCTGAGGTCCCCTGGCACATTTGAAGGGGGCCACAGACAATTCTTCACACACCACCTTATTATGCAACTTATTAGTACCTTGGTTTACGAAATTAATACGTTCTCTGGAATGTTACATAATGTGGAAATTTCGTAAACCAAAAAGCGGATTGCCATAGTAACGGCGGTGGCACTACAAACCTCGACGCCTGGGGAAACTTCCTTCGCAAACTGGAAAAACCCGGAAAAAACCCGTAAACCGAGACATTATTTCAAATGGATTTCCATTTGTAAACTGGAAATTACATAAACCGAGGTACTACTGTATCTTGATTTGGCCTATATTTCTTTCATATAGTCTTTATGGTTGTGGCCAAAAAAGATTGAGAATAGCTTATTTAATATATGATTTAAGATACCATATTACTGGCACAAAGAAGTCATGACTTGAAATGACTTCTGATGAAACTGGGAGAAAATGAAAAAGCAGGACTGCAGCTGAACATCAAGAAGATAAAATCATGACTACAGAAAATGAAAAAGCAGGACTGCAGCTGAAGATCAAGAAGATAAAAATCATGACTAGATATGAACTGCACAACTTTAATTGCAGCAATAAAAGTGAAATTGTTAAATCTTTTGTATACCTTGGTTCAATAATTATGTTCAAATGGAGATAGGCAGCCTGAAACTAAAGAAGGCAGTGCTAGAGGAACTCGAAAAGACATCTCACTGGAGATCTCGCTGGAAAAGACATCTCACTGGAGACCAAGGGTCTTCTGCTACATTCCTCTAAACACTTATTTGGGAATAAACCCAGTTTAATTTAGTACAACCACCTAAACAGGACAATCACAGAATTAGCCTGTATGTGATGTACAGTGATTTCAGATTGGAGCAAGATCCTCCTTTAAGCAATCCACACTGAGAATATAGTGTAAGAGAGACAGAACCCCTGAATCATGTATCTTAACCACAGGAAAGGGCATTTACTGTACTGAAGACCCCTTTCAAATGGGGATTGCTGTTGGTGCTCGACTCGTCTTGCTTATCGGCTTCTCAAGGACCAGTGACACCGCATACTGGTCTCAAGAAATCCCTCTGGGAGGGCTCTTCTTAGGTCTGCACAAGAAAGTTTTCCCCTTTGGCACTTACTCACCTCCTAACAACTTGGGCACCTTCCCAATGCGGTTCGTAATCTCTGCGGTGAGGACCGAGAAGTCCTGCTCGTAGCCCTCGAAGTCTGAGGACATCGTGGCGGCGGCGGCGGCGAGCAAGCAAAGAAAGACCCGGCCTGTATAAAGAAAAGCGGAAGATGGGGGGAAAGAGAGAGAAGCCCCAGCACGCGTGAAAACAGCGGCGCGGAAACCCTCGCCCTCTCAAGCCTTCGAGGACGGCAAACTCAACTTCGCCGCTGCCGCCGCTTCGCCTGTCACGGCTAAACTTCCGGGTTGAGTCTCACCAACAACATTCCCCCGCGCCGCCTCAAGGCACTCGTCAAGGTTCCGCTATCCTAGTCCACTAACTTCTAAAGACAGCAGGTGGGAACTTGGCCCGATTTTACCTTACGACATTTGAAGACCTTCCGTGACCACTACCACCACCACTACCCCCGCCCCTAGCAGGAGCTGGGAAGATGCTGCCCTCCAAATAACGATGAACTCCTCCTTCTTCTCTGAATGAATGAATGAAATCGTCTTTCGCCTTTGGTTGACGCTGGACCCTAAGTCCAACATATGAAGGGAGGGGAGAGAGAGAGAGCCCAAAGAAGTTACTTTTTTGGAACTGCAACTCCCAGGATTCCCCAGCCATGCAATGAGAAGAAAGGGAGCAGGGAGTCTCAACTGCTACAACACCACGAACTCCGAATCCGTTTGTCACGCCGAGGCTTGTAGGTATTGAAAATAAGAAAACTTTGCTTCTGAGCTCAGCTTCCTCACAGACAGGGCCTATGTCCTGGGTCCTGCTTGTTGGGTTGGTGTGGGAAATATATTTCCGCCACGTGTGTGTGTGGCGGGACATCTTTCCCGGCGCACTTGCCCGTCTTATGAAGGCGCACCAACGTCCGGGCGGAACACAAGGTTTTATGTGTTCCGGGTTCGATCAAGGTGCCCCGGGGAAGTGGAGTCGCCGAACTGGGGAGCGGACGCCGCCGCCGCCGCCGCCGCCACTCCCCTCTCCCGGCATGGGTGGCGAGCGGTGCCTCCAGAAGACCTAGCGGAGCGAGAGGCGGAGAAGACGTCTGCCCTTCGACGGTAGGGCGCCTTTGGGTATCCTAAGGTGTGTGTGTGTGGGGGGGGGGAGTGGCCGCCGCAGGGATCGCGACGCTTGCCCTTTCTCTGCCGAGGAATCGCCGATTCTCCTTCCCCTGCTGGGCGGAGAAGGAGGAGGAGTGGCTGCCTTGTGCTCCATCTTTTACCTTCGCGCCAGTCTCCTACCTTTGCTTTAGTCCGCTCCCTTTGCGGGGTCTTCCCAGCGCCCCATCCTCTCCTCTCTTCTCTTTTTTTGTGGGGAGGTTCCGTGTCCGAGACAGTCGGACATCCAATAGGTGCGGTTTTTCCTCCGCAGAGGCAAGTTAGGGTCGCTGCTTCATCGGTTGGACCGCAGCCTGCCTTGCAATCGCTGTGTGCCAAATTGTGCCGTTTGTGGGGGAAAATCACAATTCAGCAGGTGAAGTCGAACGTTATACGTATCACCGTTGAAGGCAAAGAGACGGTGCGGAGGCAGAAGGAGAGACTTTGGCGTCTTGCTTTCCTTCCTTCTGGGTGGAAATATGAGGACAGTTTAATCCTCTGAAATCTCTGATTTTTACAAATTAACATCTCATTATAGGATTTTAAGAGCAAGGTTGACTTCCAGCCTTGTCCAGAAAAAATAGTTTGTTCCAGCTTGAAGAAACGTTTATTTCACCTTACTCATTTTTATAACCTGTTTTTTAATATATATATATTTGCACATGGCCCACTCTTGTTTGTTTTTCACTTATTGACTGCTCAAGATCTTCAAGATGTTTGGGTGCTTCACCAAACTGCTTTCTGTATTCATGCCCTGCTGACTGATAAAATTGTCTAAAACTTTCCTCTACCATCTCATGTGCTAAGAGGAAACAGAACTCTCTATAAAATATATTTACTTTTCTTTTAATAGAGGAGGTTGCATACTTGTGCTTCTCGGTAGGTGACTCCTGTGTGGGGCAGGGAGGGTGCTCTGTGTTCAAAGAGAAAGAAAATGAGATTTATATATGAAGAGCAGTTCCTCATATAAATGGGGGCGGGGAGGCCTTCAACTTTTAAGAGATTTCTTCCATGTATTACAAAACCCAGTACTTGCAAGCTAGGGTGTGGCTAGTACCATCAAACATTTCCCTTTCTTTTATGTTTTGTTCGCATACATATTAGGAAGCAGTCAGATTGAAACTGACTATCATCCTAATTGGTTTTTATGCTGCCAAACAGAATGGCAAAATGGTTTCAAGCCACAGCTTTCCAAGGAAGAGTGAAAGATTCCTCTTTTAATCTAAAATTCTAGAAAAAGTAGATGTCTCTTAGTTTAGCCTAGTGTGGTGTAAGACACAAGGCGTTACATCAGGCTTTCAAGGTTCATGACAGTCTGACATATTCTGCTTCAAATATTGTTTCTTTTTAGAAGAGCCAGATGAGGACATGCACACTTTTAAACACTAAATAAAACTAGAGGTGCACTCACTTGCATAGGCAAAGAATTTATATTGAAAGGGAGAAGGTCATCGCTTAGCGGTAGACCAAATGCTATGCATTCTGAAGGTCCTGGGTTCAATAGCTGCCATCGCCATTTATCCAGATAGTGAATGATGGAAAATCTACATTCCTAAAGAACTGCCACCACTCTCACTAGACGGAGGGTTGGAGTGAAGGTTCTTTCAATTTTCAAGAAGCTTGGAAGATGTGTTGCAATGGCAGGTAAGGCCAAGGGGTAGGACCAGAAATACCATATGTTTTTCTTTTACTTTAAAGCTCTTGATGCCCATTTCTAAGCCTTGGAGGAGGTGTTTCCGTCTACTAGGTTGTGAGGAACAATTTCAGAAGCTTGGAAATCAATAAATTATGGCCATCTGGGAAAACCTCGAAAAGCCAGACTGGGATATGCAAAAATGACTTATTCAACCCAGGACCTGAGGTTCCCCATTTCCCCTGCAGTAGATAATGCCAGGTTAGATGGACCGATCGCATGGCTTATGATATGGCAGATTCATGTGCTTTCATATCTTGAGGAGTTAGAATGGAACGCTAATCTCATTAACCAGACCCTACTCTACCGACATGGAGTACTGTTCTGGGTGCACCTCTTCTAGAGGCCTATACATGACAAGTCCCTGCATAAATCATATCTGATGAAAAAATGTATTATCTTGTCCTCTATTATTATCTGGTACAAAGCTGGCAAGACCACAGGATAAGACAAGCAGACAGTGAAGGCCAGGAGCCTTTGACTTTCAAACACGAGGGGCTGATGCATGTTTCTCTTTGAGATGACTAGGATATTTGAAAAGACAGATTTGGTTGTTTATTTAATTAAAGGTTTTTGCAACATCTCTCTGTGCTAAAGATACTGTTTAGGTTTCTGACAGATAGTTCAGAATGGGCAGGAAGTGGCTATTGTTTTGTTAAGCTATTTTTATCCAGCATCTTGTCTTGCAGCAGTGCTTAAAACATTGTTTCCCTGTTAAGACATCGTGAAATTGTGCTTTAAATGAGCCATGATTTATGCACATAAGCTGAGAATGTGTGGAGAAAAGCAAGTGTAAGCATGTGGACTTGCAGCTTCTTCCTGGCCTGAAACCATGGGATGGTTGTGTCTGAATCAAGCACATGTCAGAAGTAGCCCTGCTGTTGCTACTTTGTTATTTACCTTATTTTTCGCTCCATAAGACACACCTCTCCATAAGACGCACCAAATTTTTAGGAGAAGAAAACAGGAAAAAGATAATCTGTTTTCTTCTCCTAAAAATTGGTGAGCCTTATGGAGAGGTCCATCTTATGGAGCACACCCTAGGACCATTTGGAGGCTCACCCAGCCCCCCCAAGAGGCCAGAGGGAGCGAAATCGCCACCTTCTGGGACTCTTCTGAAGTTTCCCAAGCCTCAAAAGAGTCCCACAAGGAGGTGATTTTGCCCCCTCTGACCCCTGGGGGGATGGTGAGTCTCTAAAGGGTCCTGAAACACACCCTAGGACCCTTTAGAGATTCACCCTGAGGCTTGAAAGGGTCAGAAAAGGTCCTAGAAGCTGGTGATTTCACGCCCGCTGGCCCTGTGGGGGGAGCGGCGCAAGGGTCTGGGAAGGCTCACTCAGACCCTTGCGATGCTCTCCCCCACGGGGCCAGTGGGGGCGAAATCGCCGCCTTCGCTCCATAAGACGCACAGACTTCCCCCCCATTTTTGGGGGGGGAGGGCATCTTATGGAGCAAAAAATACGGTATTTCTTTATTTGAAAGGGTTTGGTGTTAAACAATGATGATGGTGATTTTTCTCTCTCTCTCTCTGTATTTCTTAGAGCAGGAGCTTTAAACTTATGTGAACAGCTTGTGCACCTGATGATTCTTCCAAATACCAGAGATGGCTTGACCTCCGCTGTTTTGCTCTTGCGATTTGAACGTGTAGCCATTGCTGTAGAGATGAAAGCCTACAACAAAGGGAAATGTGTACCTGAAAGGAACCGCTTAAAATAGGAAACTGTACTTGACTGCAAAAATGAGACTGCTGTGTTCAGTGATCAGGTTTGAAAACCTCCATGAACTGAAAAGACTGTTCCACTGGGGCCCCATCATCGCTCTCAGTGTGATAGCAATATGTTCTGCCATGGCTATGATAGATGCCGTGCTGTGGTATTGGCCTTTGGACACAACAGGAGGAAGCATCAATTTCATCATGCTCATCAACTGGACTGTTATGATTCTTTACAATTACTTCAATGCTATGTTTGTTGGTCCTGGATACGTTCCCATTGGATGGAAACCTGTAAGCAAAATAACAGCATCAGATATTTTTGCCTCACAAGATATATTTTTGATGAACAATCCCAAATCTACCCTCCTAGAACAGTACTTCTGTAGCCAGATTTGTGATTTGTAGGATCAGGCTAAATTGGAAGTTAGTGTTTTCCCCAAGTGCCATAAAAAAACACTGGAACTCCATAGGGATTTGCTTTTGGAGCACAAAATTAACACCACACATCTAAAACTAAATTCAATTAGAAAGGTATTCAGTGGGGAGCATGCAGCTCTTTTATTGCACAGCAAATCAAAGTATTTTCTCAAAAAAAAAGAAAAGTATTTTAAGCAACATTAAACATTAAAGTTTGATTGATTGATTTAGTAACATATATGGGCCACCTTTCTCCCAATGAGGGGACTCATGTTTTAGTTCTGTCGAGATTGCAGGGCTGTTCATAGTTATGTACAAATAAGACACAGTTGAAATGTGAGAAATACAGCCTATTCTAATGTGTTTTGACTTGCGGGTAAAGTTGCTAGGACAGGATGCGAAGCATTTAAAAAAATATGTCTGTAAATTTAATTATTTAGTTATTTTGCTTTTGTTTTTAACTGAGATCATTGTAGTCTTAATATTTCCTGTTACATTTCTTGTTTTCAGAAAATATACAAATGAATGTAATGTGTGTATCCTGTCAGGTGTGTAGTATACTTTTTAAAGCACAGTTGTCAAGAAAGTCAAGAAAGGGTATCTTTCTATATTCTTTACTCAGATGGAAGCAGAGCCACACCCAGGCAAAATAACTAGCCACTACTTGTCTATGTTGAGACTTGCTCCTTATCTGCCTTTTCTTTATGTCTTTGAGGAAAACTCTCACGACTTCATATATCTTCAGTACTGTAAAATATGCCAGTCTTACAAGGCTCCGCGCTCTCATCACTGCCGAAAATGTAACAGGTACTACAAGTATATGTTGTTTAGCTACACATTCTGCAGCTCTTTGACCCCATAACATAAAATCTTCAAAATGTGTCTGTGTTTTATGGGACTTAGAAAGCGATGTCCATGCCACATTTCCCAAGTGACATTTGTGCATATCTTTAAACTTGATTATAAATTCCAGAGCTAAGAAAGCCTGTTGTTTATACTACATCTCCCAGAATCTTGGGGGATTTAGAAAGATATGGTCCAAAAAAGCAACCTTTCCAAGTTCTGTGGAATGCCTACATCTTAGAAAAATGAAGCTCCTTTAGTCCCCAACTAGACTTTAGTCAATGGAAGTAGAAGGGACTTCACAGCTTATTGAACAGGAGTATTAAACCTGGATTCCTTTGTAGGTGTGTGATGAAGATGGACCATCACTGTCCTTGGATCAATAACTGCTGTGGGTTTCAGAACCATGCCTCCTTCACCCTTTTTCTTCTACTTGCCCCACTAGGATGTATCCATGCTGCTTTCATTTTTGTCATGACCATGTACACTCAGCTTTATAACAGGGTAAGAAAATACTCTCGTCACTGCCTTAAACATCTACAGAATGGGGTTAATTCACTTCTAGAAGTACATTCTCCTGCCCTCTTTTACATCCACAGTATTTAAGTAAGAGATAACATTGGTTGTTTTAGCACAAGAATAGCTAGTACCTTCTGGAAGCTTCCAAGTTTTACTTTATATGTCAGGTTTTTGTTTCCTTCACCACTTCATCCAGACCTTAGGCACCATTTTTCTTGGCTAGTGAAAATCTCATGAGCCCAGCCTAAAGCTAGGAATAATTTAAAGCATTTATGAAAGGTGGGATGTCAAATACATTAAGGAACAATATAATTTGCAGTTAAGTTATTATCATTTTGTGAAACAATTAGACTTAAAAGCAAAGTTGCCTCTGGGTCTAAGAGATAAGAAGAAATATCTAAATACCTAAAAGTGCTCCTTACGGACACTTGAGGGGCCTTTTTTGCTGAAGTGTAGAGGAAAGGATACTACAAATAATAAGTGGGTATTATAGCTCCATTTAGGCTTGGGTTATGATTTCACAGATGGGAAAGGCATGTTTATAATCAGCTGAAGATCTCAAGCAAGCAAGGTATAACAGCTGCGAGGGCCAATGTATTGCCAGCGGCAGTAATGGGACGATGGATTTCTACACTGTGGTGTTGAGAGAGGCTTCTTACTGGGTAACTTGATTCCCTTCTCTACTTATGATGCTCTCCACTTTCTTTCCATAGGTATCCTTTGGATGGAGTTCTGTCAAGATTGATATGAGTGCAGCCAGAAGAGACCCCCGCCCGATCATTCCTTTCGGATTGTCTGCATTTGCTGCTTCTTTGTTTGCCTTGGGGTTGGCATTAGGGACAACTATAGCAGTTGGCATGCTTTTTTTTATCCAAGTGAGTCTGATGCTTCTGTTATCAAATGTCTCATGACTGTGAGATTTGGCAGGGGGCATCAAACCATGGTGCAGAGAAGGAAAGGGATACATTTTCTCGACTTTGATATGATGTAAATCAAATTGAGCACCTACAGTAAATTTGCAGGCTGAATTGTACTGCGGCCAAAGCAATGGCCAATTTTGGAATTGTCCGTTTTTTAAAAAAAGGAAGTTTGTTTTGTTTGTTTTTCTTTTGGAGGTTGGGGGCATCATAGGGGATCTCCCTAAGCCTGGTGACAAAATCAGTAACAGGATTAGAGCAGGAACAAATAGGAAGAGAGAGAAAATCAGTGTAAATGATTGTTTTCTTCCTCCCCCCCCCCTTTGAGCCGAGTATCATTTCCTGCTTCGTGTAACCCTTAAAATATTGTTGGATTTCAACTCTCATCATTAATGATTAGTCAGCATAACCACTAAGGAAGGATAATGGGAGTTGTAGTCTATGGCCCTATTTGCCTACCCCTGCTGTAGAAATGTAAATAGAGAATATCCATATAAGAGCTCAGTTATATTGGTTATACAGTCAGTTTCCTTTTATTATGTTCAAAATAAGGAAGTACTTTTGATCAGAATTTTTTTTTCTGTGTTGTTTGGGTAGGGGCCATTTAACTATTAGAAGACAGAGTCAGATGCAAATAAAAATTGGCTGTCACTTGCTCTGGGTTTGCCTTGCATTGTGCATGACCCTGAAGGGACCTGTATGTGGGTTTTGAGTCCTGTCCTTCACTAATTACCCAGCGGCTGGCTCACTTGTTTGTATTATGCTGTTCTCCTGTTGTGCTTGTGATAGTTATATTACAGTATTCCAAAGTATGTATATTTAGAGAGCAAATCTGATTGAAGCCAGTCAAACGTATGAGTAAACAATATGGATAGGATTAGTAATGGAGGTAATCTCTTGTGGATAAATACAAGGAGCAGGGGGTTTAAATCCATAAGGATATACTGTGGTTTATAGTAAGCATTGATGTAAGGCCACACTTCAGTTCTTTGGGAATTGTGGTCCCTGATCTTTAGTCCTATGGAAAAAGGAAGGTAGAATGGTAGTGTGGGTTCTGTATGCTCTGCTTACTGATCTGAAATAAAACAGTCCTCTGTCCTCTGAAGATGCCGACCACAGAGACTGGCGAAACGTTAGGAAGAACAACCTTCAGAACACAGCCAAAGAGCCCGAAAAACCCACAACAACCACTGAAATAAAATGTTTGAATAAAACCAGCTCCATACAAGTTTGGCAGCACTCTGTGTGTTTGGCATGTCTCAAGGTGGGGAAGTGTTAGCTTTTCTGCCTCAGGCATCAAGTATCTTGTGAAATAAATACTTTGAATTGAGGAGATACCAAATTAAACCGAAGTGGGATATGTGGAAGAAAGCCATAAATTGTTCTCAGCTCACCTCAGAGTGACTCTTCTTCCAGCTTATTATTGCTGTACCAAGCAGCTATGTAAATTAACACAAGACAGTGTCGGGGGTTCACGTGAAAACACCATTTTATTTATTTCTTGTTATTTCTTTATATTGATCCTAACTTTTTGTAACAGAAGTCAGGATGTAAAAAATTGGGGCTTCCAGCATGTGTTTCACCCAGATACTGAGTTGAGGGAATGGAACAGAGAAGCCCAGGGCTGCTCATAAGTATTGGAGTAGCAAAAATGTTTCTTTCTAGTGTTTTAGATATAAATTCCTTTGAATGTTTCTTTCTTTTTGGGGTGTTTGTCCATTTGATGCACTCGTGCATATAAACCAATATCTCCCTTTTTTTAGATGAAAGTCATTTTAAGGAATAAAACTTCAATAGAATCATGGATTGAGGAAAAGGTAAGCTTTGATCCTAGTAACATCTTTAAAATACATGATGGGCTTAGTGATGCTGTCCTACTGCATATTTTGCTTCTTTCTATAGATAGTAGATCAAACTACTGTATTCCATTTCCACTGATGAATCTTAATCATAGCTATCAGCAAGTATCATACTTCTTGTAAACGAAGGCCACTGTGAGATAAATCTAGCAAATGTGCTACACATTTCTTTTTATATGTTTTATCTCTGGAGCAAATTTCATAATGCTCTAAATTTTGTTTGCCTTGTGGCAACTCTCACCTGTGTTCTTTACTGTTTCCCAGATTCATGGTGATTTTGCATTTTTTTTTTGAGATTGCTGGTGCCTGAACTGCCAAGGACTGTACTCCCATATCTTTGGTAGCTGCTCAGGAAACACAAATTGGAGGAGAGAGATTTCTCTTATTTTTAAATTAGCCCCTTCTGTTTATCTGTAAAAAGCCCAAGAGTTCTTTTGAGCTTAAAGAACATTTCTTGTTTAATTTTAATAGTGTGATACACCCTGAAGTTATTGTCATATATGGGGGGACGGGCACTGCCTAAATATATATTTAAAAACAACTATTTTTTGTCTTTTGAGGTTCATAAAATGTGTGATTTATAGAATATTAAATGCCATATTTCCATGTAACACAAAAGCATGGCTTAGTGCTATATGGACAAGCCTCTGCAAACCCTCATAAAGCCTCAGGTTCATATATACATATGCTTTCCATTTCTGGAAACAGAAGAAATTCTTCTCACATTACAGATTTATGCCCTGTACTTAATATCTCTCTTCAGCATGCATTCGGTATTTATCTTTTAGACATTGAGTCAAAGGCCTTGCATGAGAGTTCTTGTGACTTAAACAGGGCACTCGTGTAGGCCCAGGTGATCCTGTACCGCCTCTGAGTACATGTATTTATACATAATAAAAGCCATGAAGACAAAGCTGCTTCCTCTGTTTAAGTGAACGAAGCACTTTCCATGTACAGTATTCATGGGATCAGTATTTGCAGTATCAGTTATCTGCAGTCTACTGCAGCTCTCTATACAACATATAAGGAACTGGGCCTTGTGGCCCTTGTCCTACCCTCTTATATATTATATAGTGTATAGGGTCCTCTACTTCGTGATACATTGTAGAACAGGTCCCTTGCTGATACAGGGGCCCTGCTGTATCAGCAAGCCATACCACATGGCTTCAGGCAGTAATGTGGGATGGAACTCCAGAAATTGAGAATAGTACTGTATTCTGGTATGTACTATCACCTCATCACTAGAGGTCAGTAGAAGATCACTTAAGATGTTCAGATTTGAAAAGAAGAGTTGCAATATACAAAACCTGCTCAACCTGGTAAAAACGAAGATACATACTGTGGTAATTAATAGTACTGAAGAATAATCCAGTTGTTACATTAAAAAATGCTTTGCAAAGTCATAGCCCTAAAAAGCAAGTAAAAATCCTTCAACTGAATAAAGAATAAAACAGTATCTCCTTTGTGAGTGGAACCTGCCTCTTACCTTAGGATGCTGCTCCTTTAACTGACAGTTCCCATGTTTCCTTCACTCTTTTGTCCTAGCAAGTGACTTAGAATGCTGGATTTCTTTCCCACACTCATCGAATGTGCACATTGGAATCTTTTTTTTTCCTTTTAATTTCAGTTTATGGTCACTATTCATAAAGAAGTGGGTGGGCACTGAAGCCACTGTTCACTTCTACCAGTCATTTCTATGGTGAATTAGAGAACCACGGGTTTTTTAATGGGGCTGTTGTGTTTCAGTTGTTTTAATGTGTTTTTAGCTCTGTTTTTACCTTTTTAAAATTGTTTAATCCTTTTTTGATATTATAATAAATTATTGCTCTTCGTTTTTAATGTTGTTTTTTAAATACCGTAAGCCGGGATGGATTTGATTTAAATCAAACTGATCTAAATCACAGTTTAATTAATTTTTTAATGTGGTTTCTTTTGATGATATAAAAAATATCATTGATTTTTATCCACTCTGCCGTAAGCTGCCTTGGGTCCTTTTTTAGGAGAAAGATGGGGTATAAAAAAATTTGATAGCTAGATAGTGGTCTGGGTGTCATGCTAGAGTGTGGGAAGTCCACACTGAGTCCACACTGGGAAGCTCCTACTGAGCCATGAAATTCACTGGGTGGACTTGAGCCATTCCCTGTCCTGCCCCCTTATAGTATATTGTTGTGGAGAAAGACACAATGGAGAACAGGGCAGTCTTGCCCTTCACCTTGAACTCATTAGAGGAAGGGTGGGATGTAAATGTAGTAAATAAATAAATTACATTTGTTTAACTAAGCTGCATGTATCACTAGACTAAATATGGTTTACTGCAAGCGGTATTTGTTTGTACCTTTTGCAGGCCAAAGACCGCATCCAATATTACCAAACAAAAGAAACTTTTATTTTCCCTTATGACTTGGGAAGCAAGTGGAATAATTTCAAGCAAGTGTTTACATGGTCTGGAAGCCCAGAGGGAGATGGCTTGGAGTGGCCTGTGAAAGAAGGGTGCCATCAGTATAGTTTGACGGTGAGCTCTTTTCTATTTTCTTTTCTTCACATCCTCACAGTGAAATGAACTGGAGTATGTTGGGGGCTGAGAAGGAGGGCTCCAGGGAAAGCGCTTTAACCTGCTCACGCATAATCTCTTGCAGGTAGAGCAGCTGAAACAAAAAGCTGACAAGCGAGTGAGAAGTGTGAGTACCTCTGAACTGCTAGCATTGTAACATGTTGCTTGGAAATCGGCAGTGACATAGAATCATTTATTATTTAGTTTTTAATTGTTAAGCTTTTGAGCCTTTAAAGTTGCATGCCTTGTCACTTGGGAATAACGTTTAATCTTGACACATTGGAGTCCTTGTGATAGCATGGTAAAAGGGGGAACCTTTTGGACCACAAGTCTCATAGTGCTTTAACATTGGCCTTGCTGGGAGGGTCTGATGGGAGTTGTAGGCCAAAAAAATCTGGATAATGGAAGGCTCCTCATCCTTAAACAGTATCAGCTGAAACTGAGTGTCATAGACATTTCCATGGGAACCAAATCAATAATGTCCAAAGATCAGAATGAATGCCTTCATTTGGTCACACCAAGGATTCAGGAGACCAGTGTACAAGTACAGTAGAATCTCCTTATCCACGTGATCAGTATGTGCTGATTCAGTTATCCACAGTCTGAAAATATTAAAAATATTAATAGAAAAATTCTAAAAATATACATTTCTAAGGTTGAAGTTACCAAAACTGGTCAGAGACCATGTGATGCATAGCATTCACTATAATACAGTGGTGCCCCGCATAGCGACGTTAATCCGTTCCAGGAAAACCGTCGCTATCCGGATTCCTCGCTATGCGGGGCAGAAAAAACCATAGGAGCGCATTAAAACACGTTTAATGCGTTCCTAGGGGGTAAACTCACCGCTAAGCAGGAATCCTCCATAGGGCCACCATTTCCGCCGCCTCGGTAAGCGAGGAATCGGCGCCGGTGGCCATTTTGGAACCGTCGATCAGCTGTGCGAAAATGGGGCCTTTGGGAGGACCGTGGGGGAGGGCTCCCCTGCAGTCCTCCCAAAACCCCACGCCGGCATTTTCACCCAGCTGACTGGCAGTCACTTCGGAAGGAGCGTGGGGGAGAGTTCCCCCGCGCTCCTTCCCAAGCGCCTGCCGACTTGAGCGCTTCGGAAGGAGCGCGGGGGAGGGCTCCCCCACACTCCTTCCCAAGCGCCTGCCGGCTTTTTCCCCCATAGGGAACATCGCAATGCGATCGCTTTTGCGATCACAAAATCCGCATCGCTGTGCGGATTCGTTGTTAAATAGGGCGCCTGTTAAGCGAGGCACCACAGTGTGTGTTTTTCAGCATCCACAGGGGGCTTGGGACTGATTCCCCCATGGATATGGGGGTCCTACTGTGATCTGTTAGATAGGCTGTAGTAGAGTAGTAGAGCAAATGCATCACTTTTCCAGCTAGGACTGGGAAAATTGCCATCTGGAACACTGAAGAACAGAGCTGTAACTAGCAGGGGTTTTTTTGCCCAGGGTTTCACTGGCCGGGTTAAACTTGGGTCACTTGAGACTATCATCCACAGGAAGGGGATGGAGAAGTAGGTTGGAATGCCTCTGTCTAAACATACAACAGCCATAGGTTTTGCAGTAAGCTCACTTGTTTTTATGTTTCATTCTGCCTGGGAAGGAGCCATTGGAGGCAGTATGCATTCTTAATATACCCAGCTTTATATCCTTCTGGCAGCAAATACCGGTAGACTCATTTGTACCCTCTCAGGAGCAAAGTTTCTGTACTCGCTAAATATTGGCACCCTTGGTCAAAGCCCCAGTCACCTAACCCTAGTTACAGCTCTGCTGAAGAAAAACATTAATAGAAAAATTAATAGAAAATATTAATGGAAAAATTAATATTTTTCTATTAATATTTAATATATAAATTTCTAAGGTTGAAGTTACCAGAATTGTATGTCACTCATACAGGGCTCAACAGTCCAATAGGCTGTCTTGGTATAGGGGAATTTCCTATATGCTTTCCTCTGCCTCCTTATTGCTCTTTGTTGTCAAGAACCAGTAAGAAAGCAAGGCATTTTTACTCTTTCCAAACCTTCAGGTACGGTACCGAGCAATAGAAGACTACAACGGTGCCTGCTGTCCTCTCACAAAAGGTTTGAGGACTTTCTTTACAACTCCATGCACTGAGGAGCCTAGAATTACACTACGCAAAGGGGATCAGATTTTAGCCACTAGAGGATTGAAGTTAGTATTCTTCATGCATTATTTAAATTTAAAATTTGATTGAAATAATCCTTCTGAGATATACTGTAACACGTAATTAATTTGTTCATTATCTTTCAGACACTGGATGTACGGAGACAAAATGACTGACTCAGCAACTGATGGTAATTTATAATCTTTTTTCAATTTTTGACTGGAATTCCAAACAGATGCCATGAATGAATCTCTTCACTTCCAACAAGACCTCTTAAAATGGTCAGAAATGAAAATGTAGCAGTGCCTAGAACCCTATTGGGATGTTACTCCAGAGAAAGTAAAATTGCTTAACTTGACCAGGCGTGCAACCAAGCACTTTGTTAATTAGCTGCAGTTTGCCCCCATGACTAACGGGATTTCACTTACTTCAGAGTAAAATCCCAGTAAGATTCTGGCCACTGATTCAACCTGGAATAACTTGTTCAAAGTGCAGAATTGCTTAATATCTTGTAAAACCAAGTACAGTATCCCACTCACCTGTCCATACATGAATGTTCTTCTGTGTAATATGTTTTAGGACTATAATATATGACTCTGGACTGTGGTGGACAATTTTCAGAGGCCCTGCCACTCACAATACTCATGTTTATACTTATTTACTAAAAAAGAAAACACCCTAATGAGTGTGGTTGCCTATTTTGATAGGGATTTTTTCTTGCCCGGTGTGATATTTTCAGCCCAAAAGAGACCTTAGCCAAAGCATTTTGAAGATCATTGGAGAGGGAGGTCTAAAAACTGGTGAAGTTAGATGTAACAAGGGGACGTTTTTAGTTTTTCTCTCTCTTTTTGAATGTGTGTGTGTGGAAACGGGTGATTTGTTGGTCCTGCAGGGCCACATTTGCATCCTGGTCTGTACTTTTCCCACCACTGTTGTAGCTCATGCACCACTCTGTCTCTAGGAAGATCCCATATCTGTTTGGTTCACTGTGTGAGTTCTTAATGAAGAACTTATGGTTGGGAGAAATGTGTCCATTTGATTATAGTTCTTTTGGAACTAGCCAAGTTATCACGTTGACAAAAAAGGGTTCTCATTCAGGAAAGCCTGGAAAACTTGCCTTTAAAAAAAGTATGATTCCCTGAATCCCCTAAAAATAGGGATTAAAGTGGCAGTTGTCTGCCAACAATAAACATATTTATGCCCAGTTAAGCTACCTTAAGTGTAAGTTTGGGAAAGATCTTTGTCCAAAGGTATGAAAAGCTGGTGCCAGCCTGTCAGAATAGAAAGTACAGTGGTGCCTCGACTTATGAACTTAATCCGTCCCAGAAGATGTTCTTAAGTCGAAACGTTCATAAGTTGAATTAGCAATTCCTATAGGAATGCATTGAAGACCGATTGATCCATTCTGGCTGTTTTTTGTTTGTATGTAGAGGCGCCGATTGTAAGTCGAAGCATTACTTCCCATAGGAACTAATGCAAAACCGGTTAATCCATCCTCTACCACTAGGTGGAGAATTTTTTTTAAACTTAGGTTAAATAAGGGGCAGGAAAGGAGGGAGGGAGAGAACAATGGGGAAAAGAGGAAAGAAAGAAGGTCATCACTGGGGTACACAGACATCTCAAACAAAGGTTTGTGCTTTTAAACACAAAAAGAGAGAAGACACACACAGAGAAGACAATTGAGGGGGAAAGAGTTTGGAGTCTAAAACACATTTTAAACCCACACATGCTAAACCCACACATTTTAACCCAAACCTTTCTTTGAAGCCATGAGTACTGTTCAGCACACCACAGTACACAAACCATAGGAGCCACATTATTCCAGCAAACAGATCCCCTCAGCACAAAAAGAGAGCAGAGAGAGAGAGAGGGAGAGAGAAAGAGAAGACAATGGGGAGGGGGAAGAGACTTGAGTCTAAACTCAGTTTTAGAGCCCAACAGCCAGCACAGACCTTTGCAAAAAGTATTCTGATTTTAAAACCAAAAGACTAAACTCTATTTTAAAGTACACCAGCCAGCACAGACCCTTGCAGAAATGGCCCGCAAGACCCAATAAAGCACAGAAACATAACCTAGCCACCTAGCCCCACCCCAAGCTGCAAAAACCCTGTATGTACAGCAAATATAGTGTGCTCACCCAGAACAGGGAGTCTCTCCGTTTTAAAAAAGGAAGTTAAAAACAAACCCTGTATGTACAGCAAATATAGTGTGGTCACCCAGAACAGGGAGTCTCTCCATTTTAAAAAAGAAAGTTAAAACCCAAAAGTAAAAAAATAAAAAAGCCAAAAAAATAATCTGGACATGTACAGTACCAGGCAATCTGAAGTCTCCAAAATAAAAAATAAAAAAAGCCAAAAAAAATCTGGACATACAGTACAGTACCAGGCAATCTGAAGTCTCTCTCCATATCCACACTCTCTAACTGCTGGGACGAGCGAGGTAGCAGACAAGCAGCCTCTTCGCTGGCCAACGGTTAACTGAAAGTTCAAATTTTCCGCTTTCCCTGCCTTCCCCACGTGGTTGTTTTTTTGTTTGTTTTTAAGTCGAAACTCTTCGCTCTGTTCGCGTCGAAGCAAAATTTTGCGAACGGAGCTCTTCGTAAGTCAAAATGTTTGTACGTAGGGACATTCATAAGTCGAGGCACCACTGTATTGAATTACATTTTCTCTTTTTGTTTGTTTGTTTTTAGTGCTTTATTTATTCTACTTGTATTCCTCAAAGACTCATTTTATCCTCACCACAATCTTGTGAAGAATGTCAGGCTGAGGTTTAGCCCAAGGTTACCCCATCTGCTTCATGGCAGAGTTTGAAGCTGGATCTCCACAATCCTAGACTGGCACTCGAACACTGGCTAAATCAAGGACAGGCAACTTGCAGTAGTTCAAAACTTTAAATTATTTTTAGTACATTTTGAATAAAAGAATAGATTTCAAGCACCATTACAGAGGAAACATTTATCTCCTTTCATGCACAAGAGGTAACCAGCTTCTGGGACGTTGCCTGCTGTGATGCAGATGAATTACCTACAACAGAGAATGATTTTTTTTTACCAGAAATACCATTTAATGCATATGCAAATTGATGGAGATTTATTTGAGACTCATACAGTGAATGAATTAAGATTTCTTCAGTCTGTTGATAGCAGTATTTTACAGCTAGCACAACTTCCATCTTACTACCATGCCACAGAAAGACCATAAATGAAGTTGGCAGCAGAATCACTAAGACAGAAAAAAGACAGGAAGATAAATTGAGCAGAATGAGAAAATCTGTTGAGAGTTTGTGTGTTTGGCGCGCAGCAGATAGATTTGATTTGCATTGTAACACTTCTTTTAGTGTTACAATGCAAAGGCTCTGTGGAGTCTTGAATGCGTCTTGAAATAGCATGACTGAACAGTTCCAAATGGGAAGCAGGATTGATTGACAACAGGCATGGATCTCCAAAGATTTCTGCCCCTACTAAAAATAAATGTGAACAATTCAATCAATCTCAGTGGCTCAGTGGGCATCTTGATGAAAACTACTACCTGAAAGAGTTCTTGCTTGTCATTGCAGAAAATCTATAGTTAATTACAATTGCAGCCTTTATCCATCTAAAGTTGCTAATGGGTGATAGCTTTGCAAATGGGTGTGTGTGTGGATTCCTCTGTCCATATTAGGGTAATACTTTTAACTAGACCAACTAAAAGACTCAAAAGGTAAGGATGGAAGCAACTTCCTTTTTTGAAACATCTTGCCTGAGGAAAATATTTCCAGGTGATCTTGAAAGTTTGCATGTATTTTTGTCCTTTTGGTAAATATGATGTTTAGAGGATTTTTATAGCCAGGTCAGATCTGTCTGCTTTAAAAAAAACCTTTAGTTAACTACATAGTATGCATTATTTCAGTTCAGCAGAGCTAGACTGACAAAGTATTGATCAAAAACATTGGACCTTCAAAGAGTACTGGAAGGAAAATGTTAAGAGTAATTTGCAAACAGTATAGTGATGCCTACAGAGATCAGGCGAAAATAAATTAAAAATGACTAAAATTAACAGAGGTATTGTGGTGGCTGAAACGAGCACAACTTGTTCACTACCCATCAGCTGACATCCACCATAGATTCTTTTCAACCCATGCAAGTGAACCTCGCCTAGAGCAACAGGATTTCCCTGTTGTTGTGATTCTCTGCAGTCTCCTTTGGTCCTCCTGAAGTCCAGAGGATCCCTCACTTCTCCAGAGCAGATGTGGGAAGCAGTAGGGCAGGTGAAGCCAGCCTTCACCTGGCTGACAAAAAGCAATGGATTCAACTAGTGATGGGGATATTCGTATCCATATTCAAATATGAATACCCCTGCACAGGTGGACATAACGAGGGTCCATCCCCCTGAGGCCAGACCGTCCACTCACCTGTCCGGCACCGGCACTGCTCTTCCTTCGAGTCGCTCCAGATCGCCTATCCATTCCTGGCAGGAGGAGGGAAGATGAGTTTCCCTGCCAGGCTGACAAGTGGATAGCCAACCGGGAGCTCCAAAGCGATTGGAAAGGAGAACAGAGCCGGTGCTAGCAGCGGATGGGTGAATGGATAGTCCAGCCCTAGGGGGCTGGACCCTCATCACTTCCACCTGTGTGGGGGTATTCATATATCATCTTTAGATGCAACCATTCCTCTGGCTGACAAACAGAAATTGAGGCAATCTACTATACTAGATTTCTGCAAAATATCAAGTCTGTGCTAACTAATGAGCAAACACCCATAGTTAGCTGAAGGTAAGAATAAAATGGCTCAGTCCTTGGTAGACTGAGTGGCCAGAATCCTCTTGCATACTTATACTGACATAACTTAGATAATGTAACTTTTGGAGGAAAATTGCCTAAAGATCTCTATATGGATGTGCCATTCATTTGTTTGGCTTGTTATGGGGTTGTTTTTTTACTCCAAATCTCAGAATTCTGGGTGTTCCAGCTCACAAATATTTACCTTCTGCTACCTTCATTTTACTCACCTTGAGTACACCTTCAGGTCCTTTTTCTTAGCCTTTATTTCCTGTTCCAGTGCTTCCTGGGGTGTTGGTTCATTAGAAATTGCCCTCTTCAAAGCATAAAGAAAAACAAGACTATTGTTCCTAGGAACCACTGGGATAATAAATGGCAGCTTAGAAGAAGGCCTCAAAGGAAGCCTCAGCAAGAGGATTTCAGCCAGTGTCTACTGTGGAAGATCCCTGGCAAATGCTATATTATGTTACTAATCGTTTGTTATTTCTCGCTCACTGATAGATGGGAAACAAATAAGAGGCTGGTTCCCAAGGAGATGTGTGGAGAAATGTCTCTATGATTCAGAAACAGATCAGCCATTGGATGGAGAAAAGAAGACCAGATAACCCTTTCCTTTCCTCTGTTTTAGTAAATGGAAATATTTCTTTTTGATCACTGTCCTTTTACTTGAAATCTTATATTACTAGACTTAAGCATTGAACAAAGAGTGTGTGTTTCTATGTTCACAAGAATGGGTGCTCCAGTGCCATAACCTTTAATACCTTTTGCCATTTTTAAAATGGAGCAAGCCATTCCATGGATGCCTTTTGATATTAAACTTCCACAGTCCAGGACACATTTAATCTGGGTTTTTTTTTGTTTAATTTTGGGGGTATTTTTTAATTTCTAGTATTGCTCATATAAACATATAGTTTGGATAGTTTGCTTTTCTTCTCTATTATTGCTGGATTTCCCAATTTTCCCTTCCATTCTCCATCTTGGGAGCTGTACGAGATATTTGAATGTGTACAAAGATTTGATAAGTAGAATTTTTAATTTTTAAATCATGTGGCAATTTTTTTGTGAATCTGAAATAAACACCAATATGTATTATGTATCCTGTGCTGCATATTTAGAGATAAGACTACTTCTATATTGATGAACAGTTCTCACAGAAAAGTTTTGTCTTGAGGGGAGAAAATTGTAATGCTTTGTTTATTTGGGCTCCTAAGTAAAAAAAAAAACAGTGAATAGAATTTAGGAAGTATATAAAATGGTGAACGATGTGAAGACAGTTGTATGGGTTTTCTCCCTAATGTTTCTGATAGTAGAAGCTCTGCTCAAATTAATAAAGAATAATATTGCCAGTGCCTGCCTGGCTACATATTCCTTTCAGTACTGGAGTGAGCAGAACAATAGTTGTGCCCTATTTGGGGTTTTCTACAGACATCTGGTTGGTGACTATGGGTATATTAGGTAGATTTTTGTTCTCTGCCTGTTATGGGTTTATGTCTTCTTGGATAGTTTGGCACCCAAATGAGGCAAAGTGGGTTCTCTTTGAGCCTTCTTGTTGATTAAAGATACAAGCTAGATTTGAAGAAAATTTGAATGGTATAAAACAGAGCAGGGCAAAGTGCAGACTATACCCATCCCCCCAGAAATGTCACATTTCTTGTAAAAAAAATTGATTTAACGCTAAAAGACAAAAGGACTTTTTCATTAGAGAACTGAACATTTCCTCAAAAAGAACTCTTAAGTGGGATTTCTAAAAGCAAATCTGGAGGTGGGAATGTTCCTAATAAGGGCCTTAATGAAGGCAGAAAAATGAGTTTAAACAAAATTATGCATTAGACAGCTATGCTGTATGTGCCTGGTGAGTGTTTCACTCGAAGTAGAGATGGGTCTTCTTTGTTTCTCAGCCACACAAGTGTTCAGCACTTCCCAACCCTGCCTTCTCTGGAGGGCACCCACTCAGAAAGGAGAAGGTGGAGCTGGAAAACACCAAACACCTGTTTGGTGGTTTGTGTCCATTTCTAAGAAGATTGCTAGGTTTGTAAAATCAGTTATGGGCCATTTGGGTTCTCTCAGCACTGGCATTTGACTAAAAGGCATCTTATGTACTACTTTTTCAGACAGTATACTCTTAACAGAAAAAGACATCTTAGAAAGTGCTATTTATCTTTATTTTCACATTCATGGTTTTCAGCCAGCATTAATATAATCAGTGTGTCCCTTAGCAGAAGATGGATAGGTTGACTTAAAAGAGAGACTATGTACATTTGACACCAGTATATTCAAATCCCCAATACAGAATGGTGAAATGCATGGCTTTGCTCAGAAAAATATATATATACAAAGGTGACTGTACAAATCCATCCATTGGGTGTATCAAAAATATATATTACATGTGCCTGTTACAGTGTAAAACCATTAAGTAAGAAGCAGATTAATTTAGTGTTTAATCATACAAGTCCGTGAGGCTAGAAGAAGTTCATTATGGTCTCTTAATATTATTCATAAGATTTCTGAGATATATTTTTCCGATATAATCCAAGTATCTAAACCATCAAGACTTCTTCATTTCAATTAGGGTATAGGAAGAATGAAGAATAATAGCACTGGAGCCTGATAGCATTCCCAGATGTTTGGAACAATAGACTGGCATGCCACATTTGAATACATCAGCTGTTTTTTTTTTCTACAGAATGCACTGGAAACTAGTACTATATTAAGTATTCATGTTTGCTCTTCAAAAAGGACAGGATCCTTAAGCTGCTTGATTTAGTTTCTTCATGAGCCAAGTATGTAGGTACCTAGTCAGTGCTTTCATAATCTGTTGTAAATGCATTTAGCTGAGGTAGCATTTGCCTTCCACCTACATATTAGTAGCATATATGGCATCAATTTGACTCCTGAAGTACTTCGATACTTCTGCTCTTTTTGCCTTCAGTGTTGGGGTTAAGAGTCCATTTTCAACCGTAAACTGTTCTGGATGAAGGTAGATATCTTTCACCTAGAAAGGAAGAAAATATTTTACCACTATAAAAAAGTGTGTTATATGGCAGCCCAAGGTGCTTGGATAGGCAGCCCAGATTCAAACACAGATTCTGGTTTATCATAAGGAAACAAGAGTAATAGGGAAAAAATCTTAAGTTCAGAGAGTTTATGGCATTTCCTCAATTAGGGACCCTTATTTCATTTTGTATTAATGGACCAAGATATATCATCTTGTGTTTTGTACAGCTGAGAAAGTTATTTTTCTGGATTATAGTTCCCAACATCTGGCCATGCAATTTAATTTATGAGGGTTGTGGGTGGCGCAAGGGATTCCTACTAGTTGCAAGTACTTTTTCCAAACTCTAGATTTTTGCATTCACTTTCAGCAACTGTGGGTAATCCATTTATACCTTGAATTTAGGATCCAAGGACAGGACTGTGTTTCATAGTATAGTACAGGATAGATGTGTGTTTTCATTGGTTATTTCCTGCATATTGCCCTACTGATGGGTGAGTGATCTATCAGTATGCCAGAGTTGTACAAAATCAGTGTTTCTGCTACACATTTGTTCCATATACAGTATCTCTGGATGACCACAGGCTATCTACCATAACCTTCAAAAACCTTTGTGAATCAAGTAGTAAAACTCAGTGGATTTCTCCAGGAATCAATTCAGCCAGTTTTACTTGTTAATGTAAATATATGAAAATAGTAACCATTGAAATGTTAGCATATTATTTTAGCCTCTTAGAGAAGACAAGCTGTGTTTTTTTTAAGGTACCTATTCAAGCCTCCTCCTGACATAAGTGGGATGGCATTTAGAAAAACTATGTCAGATCCTTATTTTGCATTAGAGATCATTCTGTATGTAATCATTTAATAAGAAACTTGAACCAAATTTCTAAATGAACAACTACTCACTTGTTCAAAGGATTTGAGGCCAGCTTCTTTCCCCAACTTGATCATGTCCATCAAGATAGCTTTCTTCAGTGCCTAGAGGCAACATGAAATTTTAAGAAGCATTTTATAACTCTAAAACATAGGGAGTGTTATGGCCCTAGAGATAAATAAGAAACGGCAAAATTGAGACTCCAAATCACATTTAGTCGAAGGAATGCAAGTAAACCATTTGGGGAAGCAGAACACTGTACAATGACATGAATAGGATTAAGCTAGTAATAGGCCTGTCTGTATAGGAAAACAAGTAGAATTGTTGTTTGTTCCAGACATGGCCATATGACAAATCAATGATAAACTGAGCTTACTGTTGTGACTTCTCCCTCCCAGTTAGCATAATAATGGAAACTTTGCATTTCTCATTACCCTTTCATGTCTTAACCCTACAGAATGTAGAATGAATCTACAATTCATTTCCACTGGAATTTTGCTGGAGCCAAATTTCAAATTATAGCTTAAAAAGCCAAGTGGTCCTTGTACACAGTCTGAAGACAAGGGTAGATTATGCATTTGTACCCTTGCCTTTGGTTTGTTTATTCGACAGGCTTCTCTGAGGAACAAGCATCTCTAAGGTAGAAGTAGTATTTCAGGAACTGTTTTCAGGTAAGAACACAAGAGAAGAGTATTCTGTATTGACCATGTGGCTCCCTTTTATTTCAATGGAATTTTCATATAAGCTATGTTTTGTATTTATTATTACTATAATGATTAACTACAGTCTCAGGGCAGTCAGTACCACACTTCCTCCTCACACCACCACATCCATTCGTTGCCAGAAAAAGAAACCATTAAACATTTGACTATGGAGCCCACAGATGTGGAGTTGTAGGTCCACTGCATCAGCCTAGGCTGACATATCTTCATTCATCCCATCTTCTTTAAATCTCTCCTGATCAAATCTAGTGTGCCAAGCAAGCCTATATTGAAGGCAGGCAGATACCAAAATAAATTCTACGATAGTCAATTGCTATTTGTAGGAGAGACACCACAGATTATCACACAACTTCCAGGCAAATGTTTTCAGTCACATTCTGCTGCTGAATGGCATGTAGAAACAAATATAACATGCCCCTGTGTTATTTAACTGTAAGATCTAATTTAGGTCAGATAACACAGGTTTCTCTCTTACAGTTGAAGAAACCTGATTTTCAGGAAGTTAAAAGGGTAGTACTTACTGCATTTTTACAGAGTTCTTCATATGAACCTTTTACTCCCAACTTTCTTGCAAACTCTGGAAGTGTCTCAGCATCAGGCACCACCACACCCACCAAGAAAGACTGTTTAAGAAAGCAGATGGATATAATTAAGATGCACACTCCATCTTTCTCCCAACATAGAGACCGAGAACAGTTAAATAACAGACAAATAAAACTGTTACTGAAAAACAATTAAATTACCATATTAAAACACAGTTTAGCTCACAACAAGAGAGCACATCAGTTTTTTAAAAAAGTATAGCTTCCCCCACTGAAAGCATCTGTCTCAGCAGCCAGCTAAATGCTAAAAGCTCACTTTAACTGACCTTTGCTGGCTGGTGGAATGAGAACTGTAGAGAACCAGCCTAGCTTCACTTGGAAGGGAATTCCACTGCCTAGAAATGGCATTCAGACTATAAAGAGGAGTGGGTGGAAATAGGCTGTGCAGTTCCAAACATTCTCATCTAACATACCAAGTTCCTTCTGATCTTGGACTCGTATCCTACATATCATTTCATGTTAACAAGAGAGAGAGAATATAGTCCATGATTCCTTGCATTATATCCCTGCAGTTAACATCCAGCACACAGTCTGTCTCAAGCTGATCGTTCAGCCTGGATCACGTGGCTACAAAATTCCTGTAATTCAAAACAGATCTAGAAAAGGACTAGTAGGTATACACACCTGTAGGCTATCTCCATGCACAAAGACCTGTGCTACAGGAGCACTTCTGATGTAGATGTTTTCAATCTTTTCGGGTGCAATATATTCCCCTTGAGCTAGTTTGAAGATGTTCTTTTTTCTGTCAATTATTCTCAATGCCCCAGTCTATAGGAGAATGTTGATAAACAGATTTTAAAAACTGATTATGGTTTCCTATTATTTAGAAGCATGTTTTGAGGTTCAGTTTGAATATATTATAATAATTGTGTGCCATCAAGTCAATTCTGACATACTGTATGGCAATCCTTTCCAGTGTTTTCTGGATAGAGAATACACAGAAGTGATTTACCATTCTCTTCTTCTTGGGGGCACCCTGAGACTATGAAGCTTGCCCATGGCTACACAGATTGGCTCTTTTCCTAGGAGGCACAGTGAGGAATCGAACTTCCAACCGCTGGCTCTTCAGCCAGATACCCAAGTCACACATTGCCAAATGCTTATGATCTTGCTATGCAACACTGCAGCTGTAAGAATGGTGCATCAGCATCCACAGTCAGCAGGTTTGTAAGGTGCAATATTTGTTTATGTGAACCAAGATGTCCTGTTACTCAGCTAAAACAAAAATCATTTCTCCCTAACCTCGTGAAAAAGTGGTACAACAAGTGTCCTCCTGGAGTCTGAAATTCCATGGAAATTAACATTCCAGTAGCCAACAGTGGTTTACACACCGATGTAACATAGTCACTGCAAGGCCCGCCCAATTATGATTACAATGTATGAACCAGTGAAGCACAGCTCAATCTCTAAGGTATTGTGTGGAGAGAGTGGAGACTGGTAGCTCCAGCCTCTCTGGTGTCTTCACCTCAGATGCCAAAGTGCCTCAGGCTGGCTCTTTCTGACTTGCATAACAGAAATACAACCTTCTGAAGAGGGAGAGACAGTTGTTACCTGGGCAGCCTCTTCAACATGAACCCAAACCGATGAATCAAGTTTTTGGCTCATTTGGAGAGGCCATCCAGGTAGCGCAGCAAATCTGCCTTCAGAAAGACACATTTCTGTGTTCAGTATAATAATGATGTAAGAAAGGTGAACATGAGAGAACCATGTTTCCTTAATGACTGGATAGGGCTTAAGACATTATAGTCACCCAGAGATGGCCAAACATAGGGTAAAGAATAAGATTGCATGCATGTGTGTACACATGCACACATGATTTATTCTCAACACTACTAATAGTACAGCATCCCCTACCTCATCTGAAAGAAGAAGGCTAGCTTGGGGCACTGCAGGTCCTGGTATACACAGTGCCGACGTTTAGGAAAGAAATGCCTGGGAGGTGCCCTTGTGACATCCTTTACACCACCCAGCATCTACTGCATGAGGTAGCCACTTCATTCTGCTAAAGCCTTGTCGTTACCATTTGACGTGTGAAGAAAGCAGTAAGCGTGGTCGTATGACCAGATGAGCGGGATATAAATCAAATAATGAATAAATAAATAAATAAATAAATAAATAAATAAATAAATAAAGACCTCATTAATGCAATATACTCATAATATGGAGTCTAGAGAACTTGCAGACTTTTTCTCATTTATCATAATGGAGAACTGGGGGAGAAGCAGCCTAGCTTCCATTGGAAGAAAGTTCCACTGCACTAATTAAGGATGTTACATAGGAATGGGCCAGCTGTACTTACTCCGGAGTAATTTGCAAAGGAATCATGGATTTTATGTTTTTTTTATTTTTTTTTTATTTTTTTTTTGCCACTTGATGCAGCAACTTACAGAAAAGCTAGGACATTTGGCATTCAGTGGTCACTACCTTACCGGCATCCAGGTACCAATATCTCCAGTATGAAGCCATCCATCCTTATCAAGTGCTTCTGCTGTTTTTGCAGAATCCTTCAGGTAACCCTTGAATACATTTGGCCCTTTAATGCAGATCTACAGAAAATAAAGAATTGGTGTTAGCTCTCTTCCAGGGTTAAAGAGCTCAATTCAATGTAACACAAGACTACAGTGCAGAAAGAAGATCCTTACCTCTCCTTCATTGTTTGATGCAAAATAATTCATTTCAGGAACATCTTCAAGTTTTATAATATTGCAGGCAAGAGGTGGTCCAACATGTCCTAAAGAATAAAAAACCCAGAAAAGTTACCTCTGTGGAGTCTTTTTCAAAGCCATCTAGATAATTCTTTAAAATGGAAACATGAAAGTGGGACAAGCCAACAAAAAAAAGAGCAATCGGTGTCAACTCAACCCTTTTCTTATGGCAGTCTCTTATATCTTGAAGCAATTCAAGCTACTTCATATCCATTTATATCCTCAGTTCTATTGACTTAGAGCAGGAAGAAAGGAAGCTTGTGACCTACTGATGTTTTGGACTACAACTCCCACCATCCCTGACTATTAATCACATGGCTGGCAGAAGTTGATTGCAAAAATTTGATGCAAAAATAACATGACATCGAGAAGACACAGACTCAGTATGTACATGCAGGTTCACACCAGTCTCTCCCATCTTCCTCCCTAATTGAAATGAAATCTGTAATCAAAGCTGGACAGTGTAACTCACCTTGCTAGTAAATTCAAAGAAGCAAGAAGCAAACCTTGTTGGCAGCTCATAGTATATATGTAAAATCATATCAGGATAGGATCTAAAGGATTAAGGATGAGTAGTGGGAGGGAGGTGATAGTCTTATAGGTCCCTTCCAGCTCTATCATTCTATAATAAAGGATCCCTTATGGAAAGTCAGCAATGTTTTCTGAGTGGTTTACTTATCCAGCTGCAGAGCTAGAGGTTGGGAGTTGAAGCCTCCACTATGCCTCCTGAGAAAAAAGCTAGCCTCTAGACATGGGCAAGTTGCACAGTCCCTGAGCATCCCCAGAAGAAGGGAATAGTGAACTTGTATATTCTCTTACCTAGAAGACTGTAGAAAGGCTCACCATAAATGGGGATTGACATCATGCAGTTAGGATCTAAAGACCTTTCTCCAACCAAGTTAAAAAAAATTCTTTCCAAAGTACTTGATTTGACTGACCTTGCCGTATATTATTCCAACTGTAAACTGAGGATTAACACACTTTGAGTAAGTATGTATACCTGTTTTCCAATCTCCTGGCAATGAGAATGTGCAGCCAGCTGTGCATTCTGTCTGACCATATGCTTCAAAGACCTGATTGGGAAGACAAAATGCTCGTATCAATGGAGCTGTTGAGTCTGGACGTTTTGCAGTGCCCAACTCAGATCACAACACACCTCTGAATTCAATGACCTGTGGGATCCCTTCCAACTCTACGATTCTATAATTTTATCTTTCAAAAACAGTTTAATGAGGCTTTTATCTCTTTAAAAGCTATTCTTAACCAAATTCCATTGAGATCACAGAAACATCCTAGTGTAATTGCTCAGAAGTAGAGCCTGATGATTTATGGAAAGTGTTTCCATTCTTTGAGTTATCTGTACACTTGAATTCTGTCAGAAAGGAGTCTGGTTTTATAATTTCTACTTTTGCAGGTCACAACCACATTCAAATCTGAGAGCTTATTACACTGACTCATCTTATAGCCATTCCAGGAATAGAAGTTACTGGGAGATTTTATGGAGCAAGGTTAACACTGACCTTAGAAAGGTTTTATATGAATATAACATTAAGGCTGTTTTCAATCTCCTTTGCCCGTAAAAGTTTTTTTTAATGACCATTTATCTTTTAATTTTGTTAAAGAATATGTTATATTCCCAACCTTGGGTTCAGACAGACTGCCAGATGTGATAGTGGCCCATTGCACTCATCCTCATGTATTCTCACCAGACCAGTTTTCCCCCAAGAAATGGGCAAACTCCAAAGCAACATCACTAGCACATTGACAAAACTAGCTCAGTCAGTTTTTGTCTACTGGTCCTGTACTTACCTGACATCCAAAGGCTGCTCGGAGGAATTTTAGGACAGATGGAGATATTGGGGCAGCGCCAGTTATTACTATTCGTACTTTCCCACCCATGATTTCCTATAGGGAAAATGAAGCAAGCATTAATCAAACAAGTATAGCCACTAAAGGTGTCAAGGCTCACTTTGTAAAATGATAGTTTCTCAACCACAGGTTCTCCAGATGTTCTCGTACTTCAATTCCTAGATGTCCTAACCACCATGATACATAAACTGGAAATTGAAGTACAAAATATCTGGAGGACCAAACTGCTGTAGAGGCCATGTGGTTTTGTCAAATAATCTCGTTGAGATTCCATAGGAGAAAACATACCTGGACTTTGTTGAATACCAATTTGTCCCAGATGCTAGAATTTCGTAGAATGCCCTCCTTCACTTCAGCATGCTTTCTGGCCACAGCAACTTTCAAGAGTAACTTCTTGAACCTGGTTTGGACCCCACTTTGTATCTGTAAGAAATTCAGCCACTGAAATTTCAAAGTTGCTAATTATTAAGTACCATAGGTCACAAGAGTGAACTCTACACATACATTTCTAGTATGTACCATTATTTCCCCCAGGCTCTGGTATTATGCTTCTGATCTGAAGGGCTAGGATATTTTACAACTGTAACACAACACAGGTGAATTAAGGGAAGAACTGCTGTGTCATTTCTTAGTGAATCTTCATTTGGGGAATAGGCTAGAATCAAGATCCTGAATAGTATTATTTGTTTTATGGAAGACACTCAGTGTACTGTAGTAGGTAGTGATGGATTAGGACCAAACATTCCCTCTAAGCTGTAGATGCTTGTCCAGAGCTCCATCAGGCTTGTGCACAGGCATCTGGCAGCCAGCAGCCAGTTTATTTACTTCCCATTTTGACTGAAGCTCCACCCATTCCTGTGCACACGGAGTAAGACTCCCGAACAGCAGGACAGAAAATCAGAGGGAATGTTGATTAGGATTCAGGGAACCTAGGTTTGCATTCCTGCTCAGCTGCAGAAACACACAGGGGTGGAGAGTGGGAGAAGTTGGTAAAACCACTTCTTCAATATCTCACTTATCTTGAAAACCTTACTAGGATCACTGTAAATTGGTTCTGACATGACAGCACACAACATAGGTTTTACAGAAAATACAACAATGAATAGAACTGCTGCTGAAGGTACAGTAACCAGAACATTTTGCACTACAACTCCCAGAATCACCTAGCCAACACAAATCCTAGCTGGAGAATTCTGGATTTGTAGTCCCAAAAAAGGACATTTTCCATGCTCTGGTTATAACAAAAGGAATTCAGTTGAGGTTTGCTTTGCATCAAGCTACCACTTTACCTTATCATAGATCCTGTTAAGTAGCCTTGGCACCACTGGAAAAATGGTTGGCTTCAAAGTTTTCATGTCTTCAGTTAGAAGTTTGATATCTCCTTGGAAGAAACCCACCTTAGCTCCATTGCTATACATTACAGTCTACAATGCAAACAAACAATGTTCTTCAGTCAATACTGAACCACACATACTCCAAGCTGCAATTTAAATTTGTTACAGCCTATTAAAAGAGGCCAGATAATGGTCTTTGACTAGGTACTGCCAAATGGTTACACTTCGGGGGGGGGGCACTGGACTCTTCAGTAGTATAAACAGAAAGTGAAAACTGTTTTATGTGGATTTATATTTGAGAAAAAGTACAGTATTCTAATTTAAAATCCACTTCCACCTCCACAAGGTGGCAAATGAAGATCCTTACCTGTGGTGGCAAGTGAGCCCAAAAAGCAACAAGGAAAAAACAAAGCAGTGTTCGGAATGCGTTTTACTACATCACATTTTTCATTCTGGTGAGCTGCAAGTTACTGCCTTATGAATACTTAACTCCAGAAGAGGTCCAAACAGAAACCAAAAGAGTGAGGACTTGGGAGAGATACACTTCCTACCTTAAGCTCTTGCATGCAATGTGACCCTTAGCCCCATTAAATGGGAAGGAATCAACCCACAAGGAAGCAGTTCTGAGGAGACTCAAGAGGCATCATTATGTACAGTTTTCTGGATGGTAACTAGAACACAGAAGGCATTTACCTGCACTACTCTCTCAAACATGTGAGCCAGAGGAAGATATGACATGGATATATCTGATGTCACGCAGGGAGTAGTCATCTGCAAAAAAAGAAGGTGGCAGTATCGCAATGGTGTCACCACACTGTTCTAGAGTTATGTCAAAGAACATGCAAAAACATATCATTTCACCAGTCTACATACAGCCAACCATTTGTTTAATACATTAATGTGGCAACTTACTTCTATACTCTTAATGAAAGCAGCAGCATTGGCAACCACATTCTCATGTGTTAGCAAAGCACCTTTAGGGTCACCTAGAGACAGAGAAACACATGAACATCTGGGTCTCATAAACTAGACTCCCAGGGGCTTAGCTATTCTCATGGCCACTCATGCTTTTTAAGGCATATGCCCAAACTACCTGAAGTTTATTTGCAAGGGGGGGGGACCCAAATACCACAGAATCTAGAATACTGTAGTTTTTACCTCCTGAACTAGAATTCCACATTTCCCCAGCAAATATTCCTTCCTCAGCTTTGCCTCCCACCCCCAACATTTCCCTTACTACAAACAACAGATTATACATATTCATAGAAGCTCTGGAACATAGGTCCTTTTTTGTTTTGGGAATCTGCCTAACCCACATTGGAAACACAGGCTGGACTGAGGCCCTGTGACTATAAACATGAATAGCTCACTTAATTGTGGTTTTCAGAAGCATGACTATTACATGAGGTATCCCCAGTAGTATTCAAATATATTGCCTTGTTACTAGGGCACTTTACTGTTTCTTAACAGCCATGCAGCATACCATTTATCGGCTAAGAAAGCAAGCATTCTGTTCCCCCTGCCCTTAAAATAATATTTTCATTTGGTTCAATCACCTCAGTTGACTCGTATTGTAGCTTTCTTGAAGCAAAGCTAGAGTTTCCCACACAAATTATAGTCTATTTCATTCTCTAAAGTTATGTACCTGTTGTGCCACTGGTGAAACAGACCATACAAAGATCTTCTGGCTTGGGAGGCTGAAATGAGGAGAATGTTTTGAGTCCCAATGAGTCTGAGTTTATAACATTGAACTTAATAGTAAACAGGCATGATTTATTAAGTAAACTAAAGAATAAATACTTACAACTGGTTTGCTTAGGTTTTTTCTTCCTATTGACTGTAGAGAGAGAAAACAAGACTAAGCACTGTAGCAAGGTGTAGGAGAAGGTAGTAACTGAGGTGGCATTTAATAGCCACAAGATAGACTGAGAAACAACCTGGTGACGGAATTGTTGAAATCCAGTAGAAGAACTTGTGTGGGGTAAAGCTGATAATGCCATGAGCCATGCCAGTTTTCTGGAAATTAAAAAATTCTGACTCACCCCTACCCTGAAGATCCCGAGACTCCATTGGTGGAGAGTGG